CAGTAAGGCACCCAGGATCCCCGGCAGCCCGTGGACGTTGTGAACCCCACACGTGTCCTGCATTTTCAGCCTGGAGTGCAGGATGGGCTGGAGAGAGCGTTAAGGAAAAGTTGGGGTTCAGATGAGGGATGCTTGCCCAGGGGAGGTTGCCCTGCGGCTCGGTGTTTGCAGATTTGGGAGCTGCAGGTTGGCAATGCAGCCTCCCCCCCAAAGCAGGGTGGTCCCCTGAGCTGGGACCGATGTTCTCGGCTCTCCCCAGACAACTCACCGTGAGGAATCTGAAGCCAAGCAGGGGGATCAGACCGGCCAGAAACCCCGCGATCAGGGCCCCGAAGGGGGTGACCAGCATCTCCCCAGCCATACCCATCACGGCCACGCCGGCCAAGGTGGCATCCTGGATCTGAACCTGATGGCACAGGATATGGTGGGGGAATTGGCTCCGTGGAGGACATCAACCTGGGGCTGGGGGGATTTGGGCTTCCTCAGGGATCAAATTGGGTCTTAATGAACCTAAGAAAGCCTAACAGGCATCCCCTTTTGCCCTGGCTGTGTTCACGCTTGGCGTCCATGAAAGACGGGACGTGGACAGTCCATGAGACTTGGGTTTGTCCCAGGAGAGGACCTACCATCCGCGGGGTGCTCTCCTCGTAGAGGACAGGCGAGAGGACAAAGGTGGCCAGGGTGCTTGCTACCAGTGAGAAGTAGGTGTTGAGCACTGCCCAGGGCTCCGTGTCGTCCTGGACAGTGGTGGCTGAGGTGAAGCTGGGCCAGAAGATCCACAGGTAGATGGTTCCTGCAGGGAAGGGGAACAGGCAGGTTTTGATGTTGGGGTTGAGCCCTCGTGGGAAAAAAGCTCCTTGCTAGTGCCAGGAGATGCAGCGTGGGAGGTTCAGGTTGGACACGAGGAAAAGTTTTTTTTCCTGGAGAGGATGGTGCAACCCCAGGTCAGGTCCCCAGGGAGGTGGAGGACCTCTGTCCTTGATGGTTTGCAGGATTCTGCCTGTCACAGCCATAGCCACGCTGTCTGAACGTTGGCGATGGTCCTTCCACCACCATGTCTATGACTGCAGGGTTGTAGGGTTCGAGCTCCGTACCAACCACAGCAAAGACATCTGGTTGGTGCCCCGTGTCCGGCTGCTTTTTCCTCTTGTCCACACGGGGCTGGTGCAAGATCCGTGAAACCATCAAGCCGAAATAAGCACCGAAGGTGTGGACGGTCAAGGAACCCCCGTTGTCGCTTACCTGGTGAGTACAGAGAAACACGGTGCAGGGCGGGGAGATATGGGATTTATCTCTGCAGACAAGACAGGTCATGAGGACTCACGGTCACCCCCTTTCTGGTGGGTCCCCTCCCTCGATCGGTGACTCACCCCCATGAGACTGAGCAGGATGTATTCGTTGAGAGCGAAGAGGGTGACTCCCAGCAGGGTCAGCAGCAGCATCTGCAGAGGGTTTACCCTGCCCAGAACAGCTCCGGTGGAGATCAGGATGGCTGCGGTGCAGAAGTCGGCACTGACCATGCTGGGAAGGAGAAGGAGGACGATGGGGCTGGATCCGGCACTGCCGGGGGAGCTGGGGAGAGCAGAGTTGCAGGGGTGGGGGGACACAGGAGCTGAGCCTGCAGCCTGGACCCTGCGTCCCACCGTTCCTATAAGCTTGAACGGGCAGCCCTGAGCCTTGCGATGTTGGTGACAAAGGGACAGCTGAGCTTGAGACAGGCGGGGGGCCAGTGTGCCCCCCTAACTGCCCGGCTGTAACGTTGGCAGTGCTTACACAGCCCTTACTAGCATGATACTCAACCCAGGAATCTGGTCCTCCTTGTCCTCCTCATCCTCCTCCAAAGCAGAGCTGTGAGTTTTACAGAGGAGGGAGCCAGTGTGCCAGGCTGGACCAGGGACGGTCGCGGCTGGGCAGCACCAGCTCCCTCCTCCCCTTACCTCTGAGCTCCCACATAAATTTTATCATTCGGGAAGAAGTATAAAAACCCCTGGATCAATACGGCCCACTGGATGGCGAAGGCCACAATGAGGATGCTGACGGTCACGCTGCCCGGCCCGTAGCGACCAAGGAAGGCCATCAGGAGCCCGAAGCCAAGGAGAACTTGGAGGCGGACGTCCCGGAAACCTGGCAGAAGAGAGGCGCAAGGATGGGTCTAGAGGCAGCCACCCTCCTGCCTGCCCGTCCCCTCGAGGGGGCTCAGACACCCCCTGCTCTAACAGATTTTGGGGAGCTGAAGGCTTCAGCTGATATAAATCAGCTTTGCTCCACCTACGTCTTTCTGGAACCGTGGTGGATCTGGCCTTGGACCTCCCTTGGAGATCGCCAGCGGTGAGCATGAGCGGGTTGTTGCTTGTGCTGGTGACAGGTAAAGCCGTCCCCACCTGACGTGGCCCCCACCGCCCCGTTTGCAACCACCCTGTGCCGATACCTTGGTACGTGCACGTGGATCACCTTGCGGTCCAGAAACCTCTTGGGGTGACATCTGCACCCGTTGCACCAGCATGAAGGTGGGTCTGAGATGTCAACCACCCCCCTGGGACCTTTCTGCTATCCCTCAAAGCATCACAGGACAAGAGGACCAGAAGAGCGAACGGAAAAATGGGACCAGTCTGGTACCATTTGGTGGCAAACCAGAGGAGGAGGGACCCGATTTTTGCTTGGGCTAAATGCCCTTTGCATCCCTCGGCCGTGCCAAGAGCCGTGTCCCATCCTTCCCCGTGTGCCGGAGCCGTGAGTCACTGCCTGCGCTGGGTGGGGTTCCCTGGGCAGGTGAAACCGGGAGAACCTGCCTGCTCCTTGCCGGGCAGCTCGGCTTGGCTCAGCTCCCCTCCCTCGGTCAGGGCTCTCCGGAGGCTCCTTTCCAATCTCCTGCCTTGCCCTTGCCTTGGAAAAGCCGGGATCAGGCCCTCATCCCCCAGCCCAGGATGAGTTTCGCAGCGATGCCCAGCATACAGGAGAATGATCCGATGGGGTGGACCCCCCAAGCCGTGTTGGACGCTGTGGCAGCACCGAGGGAGCCAAATCCTTGGTGAAAGGGGTTTGGTGCAAATCCCTTGGCACTGCAAAACCCAGCAGAGCGATGGGAAGTTTTGCAGACCCCAAAGTACCAGGAGCTGCTGCCGTGCTCCCGGCCCCGGCGATGGGAGGACAATCCCAGATTTATCACTGCACCGAATGATCCCCTCCGCACTCCAGCTACTGAAACGCACGTCCTAGACCCAAATATCCCTATTTCAGACCCGGCTTTGTCCGAGCATGTGGGAAATCCTTGCAGGACATCTGCTTTCCACCCACCAACCCCTCCTTGGTGGGACGTACCGGTACCCCAACCTTGCGGCTTGATGTTCCCCCTCCTCTGCTTTACTCTGGAGTCCGATTATGAACGGTGTGACAGATCTGCAGCCCGGCCCGAGCACGGTGACATCCCGTGCCACCCTCTCAGCCATGCCTGGGGACCAGGTAGAGCCACTTTCTGCACCCACCCAGGGTGGGGGTACTCACGGGGGTGCTGAAAACCCAAGTCCTGGTTTCTCCAGCTGCAGTTCAGCTGCTGGGAGCAGAGACCGACGCTGCTTTCTGGGCTGTACCGGACAAAGACGGCGAAGAGGATGATGGTGAGGATTTGGAGGAGGAAGCACAGCCCGGAAAGCTGAAGCCTCGAGGCGACGGTGTGCTCAGGCATGTTGTGGGGCAAGCAAAACCCCTGAAATTGGGGACACACGAGGAAAGACGCGCAAAATCCTCCTGCCAGGGCGGCTGCCAGGTCCTGCCCTTGCCTCGGTGCCTCCCACGGGTGGAAGAGATGGCCGGGAGCGGGACAGCTTTGCCAACACGGAAACCCCGGGTTGGCCGCCCCGGCACGCCTCGGTACCTGGTTTTGCCACATCACGTGGCTCAGGTCACTGTGCCAGAGAAGTACATGGGGCTTTTGGTGCCAGCATCGGTCTCGGCTCAGTGCGAGAGGGTCGGGGTGGGATTTGGAGTGCGGGGGGAGCCGTGGCTAGGGGATGCCCGAGGTTTCAGCCTTTCTGGAGGTTTGGCACAGGAGAAATGTGATGGTTTTGGGGAGATGGGGTCAGACAGAGGAGATGGAGGGCGGTGCAGCCTGTGCAGTGGGACTGACCCGTTGCAGAGGTGCTGAGGTCCGGCAAGCTCAGCAAAGCCGGGTTTAAATGCCCTGGTTGGTAGGGAAAATGATGGTTCGGGGGGCTTTGGCGAAGAGGGTACCTGTGGGGCTGCGTGG